TGACCAATCTTGTATAGAATTAGGGTAGAGAAAATAACAGATAAAATATAAAATTATACAGAAAACAAAGATTTGAAATGTATTTAGGAGGTTTTAGAGATTACACAAATGAAATTTGAGATTTTTGAGATGAAGTATTTTTAATCTTAACATGAAAATCACTTTGCACATGGACTATTCAAAACAAATACTCAATATATTCATGGACAAATCTTTATTCTAGTTTACTAAAAATATGATTTTTTGTATGTGAAAGACTTATAATGTTAACTGAAAGACTACCAAATTTTGTGAAGATTGAACTATAATGAAACTATTGTTGCATCATCGAGGTCATCTGACTAGTGTGACGCCACCTATTTTCTAGAAGTATCTTGTTCTTTCGTGAATGCCCTAGCATTTACTAGATATATGTTTGTCTGGTATATAAATAAGACGCTCACAACGTGACAATAATGTGTGTGTAGGTAATGAGTAATTGAACTGCAGTCAGAGAGAGACGTATTGTTGAAGTTAACGTTCGTTGTTATAGCGTTTGTTTTAGCGCGATTGTTGAAGTTGAGTGTATCGGTAAAGTTATATTCGGAAAGAATAAATCAGTTTTATTAAGAAAGGACTTGTGTCGCTTAAGTTTCATCGGAACGAAGTTACGGAAAGTTAATTAACAAACGGAGACGTAACACCATACTGAAAGTTAGAAATATTAAATCTATAAAGACTTTAAACAAATACAAAGAGGTATTGTGGTCGATCAAATTGACCAAGCCCATGTTGAGAGAGTTAAGCTTACATGATACAAAGGAAAAAACCTGGAACTACAGTACCTAACCCTTGTGCACCACAAATGCCGATAGTGATGGGACTCCACTTCTAAGACAAAGTGCAGATAGGAGTCGACTATAACCAATTTGGAAATCTACAATCGAAGTAAAAAACAATCAACACAGATTGAAGAATGATTACCTTGTGAACCTTGGAGAATATAAGTGTTGATAAAGTCAAGAAAGATTGATGACTAGACACTTATCTCTCATCTTCATAAGTCCAACAACTAACAGGAATAAAAACTCTGAAGAACTAGCCTGACTTTCTCACTATTCCCAGACCAACCAGACTCAGATAACCATAGAACTAAGTTCCAAGTCCTGATGAACTGCAGAAGATGGAAACCCTATAAATTAGGTGGATATTATTGGGGAATATGTGAACTGAACAATCAATTGTGATCAAAGGACCTGCAGAGCTTCTGGACCCATAGTGAAGATTACCACATGTCCAGAAATTCTTGAACCCGAGCCCCCATAGCTTTTGAAGGTATATAATAATCCCCAACACTGCTGGCGATCCGACTAAACAGTGAAAATGTTGGTTATAGACAGAACCTATTCTGAGTACCAATGTACCAAGGAGCTAATGTCAGGGACTGGTACTCATGAATAGGTGCAGAAATATGACCCCCTTGTAGGAGACAATGAAATTTGAGACTTCAACAACAACAACTGGGAGGAATGTATAAGCTGAAAATTCAATCAATTAGCATGCTAACAATGAATCCGGCTTGTCCTCAATGAAACTGGTGATCCTGAGAGTCTTGTAACAAAGTGAAGTGAAAGGAAAAAATGTTGAATTGGGACTTACTTTGTCCCATCTGGGGAAATAGACCTATATAGGTATAGAACCCCAAAATTCGAGGAGCAGATATTATTTAAGAGTTGGAAAAATGCCTCCACCTGGAGGTGGTAAGTGAAATCATGAAGTTCCAACAATGTGTCAGATAAGGCCTAACTGTCCCTTCACATAACTAAAAAAGTAATCCTTCCACCATAATTCCTTGTATGGAGAAAACAAAACAAAAAATTTGCTCCCAGACCTTTCAATCATTAATTAAGTTGCAAGATCAAAAGCAACTGGGAAAAGGCCCAAAACATCACACACTCAAAGAACCAACAGAAGAAAAACAAATCAAAGGCAGCTTATCCTAAGGTGGCCTCTTTTTCGTTTTTCCCAGGTCATTTAAAGACTGTGGTAAAGTAAGTTGTTTTGTTAGAGCAAAGAAACTGTGGGCCATCTGCCACGTCCACCCTAGGGAATCAAACCCCGGTGGTGCGAGTCTGTAAACTTACCACTGACCCACAGGTGGGTTGAAAATCCACTAAACTAAAAAAAAAGGCACAAGAAAAAGCATATCTAAAGTCTCTCCAAAATGTCAAGATCATCTTCAGAACCCCCTGGAGGACCACCACAGATCCGAATATATGTCTCCATTTCACTATGAATAAGGTCATTGACAGTCTCAGACGAGAGTGACTCCCCCCCCCACCCACACACACACAATTGTTGTGTAATGCTAGATATCAAAGGTGGGAAAAGGAGAGACCCAATTGACCTCTGTGCCAGAAATAATAATCCAGAAGTTCATACCATAATTGGCTTGCCAACTGGAAGAAAGAAATAAAAAAATACACATATTATTATTACGAAGTCAACTAGATAACACAAGAAATTTCAAAGTACCTCTGATAGAACGTAATACTGGGAAACCTGTTAGTGATGCTTTGTCGATAAAAAGTGATAAAATTATCTGAATAAAATGCTTATATACAGTACCAGAATAGAGAATGCACTGAAGTACGTGGAGAGTATCACGAGACAAATATCACCAAGGGTAAATTAGTGGGGTATAAAAGACTGGAGCAAGTGAGAAAAAATCAGACTAATGCATAAATGGGCAGAAAAGAAACCCTGGCAGTTGAGTAATAGCTATTAGGGGCAGCAGAGGTAAGTATTTTTTGGAAGCAGAGTTTCATTAATGGTTTTTCAGACCATATGCTATGAGGTCATAATAGGGTGTGATCAAAATGCTTTACTAATACAATTTGAAAAGAGAAGGGAATTCCATGAGAATTATATTCTCAAGGAATGACAGGTTCTTACCAAACATAAAACTATGTTTAAGGATGGACAGAAAAATTCTAAAAAAATCTAAAACTGTATTGTTTACAGGCAAAACTGCTCTCAGAGTTGTACAGAAATGTGCATTTGGACATTTGTTTTTACTTTCTTTGCAAATTACATTAAATATATGTTACAAAATAATAAAATATTAATTCTAAAATATTTCTGGTTAACCAATAGTTAAAACAGTTAGGATTACTAATTTTGCTTAAACTTTTAAATTTGATACTCAAGTGTGCACTCAATCGATCAATTAAAAGTTAGATTTACCCAAAACTTCCTACATTCTACATTAAAGTATCTAAACTATAACACTTACTAAAGCTGATCTGTGTTGTTCTTCTAGTTCCTCCAGCTTTTTATGATGTTCCAATTCCATAAAAGCAATTTTCTCATTTGCCTCTTCTTTTTCTTTCTTTAACTTTGAGATCATATTTCCAAGATCTTGGTCATATGTTTCTACAGATAAAAGTTTTTCAAAACCTTCTTCATTCTTTACTTGTTTAAGTTGGTCCAATGAATTATTTCCTTTTTCTTCTTTATATTTCTCTAACATTCTTGTTAAGTTTTCAATCTGTGAAATCAACTCAGCCTTTTCTTTTTGGTGATTTCCTTCCAGCAATGCCACTTGTTCATTATGGGTTTTTAGCTCCTCCTCAGTTTTCCTCCTTTCCTGTTCAATATCTTTTTTCAGTTCTTTCAAAATCTCAGAATATTGTAATTCACAGGCTGATAAAGATTCTTGATGACTGGACTGAAGTTTATTATATTTTATCAGTAGTTCATTAAATCTATCATCTTTTTCAGCCAGTTTTTCCTTAAAATTTTTTTCAGATTCAATACTTTTGATTTGCCAATCCTTACCTTCTTCCTCTTTTTGGAACTGTAACTCAGAAATCTTTTTCTCTAGTTTTTTATAAAGTTGACAGTATTCATTATTCTTTAAACATTCTTCTTTTAATTTCTCTTCCAACTGTCCTTTTTCCTCCTCTAAATAGGCAAGTCTTTCTTCAAGGTCAGCAACTCCACACGACTTCAGAATTTGTTCTTGTAAGCTATTTTCTATTGATTCTTTCTCAATCATTAGTTCATTGATTATCTCTTCCAGCTTGTGGAGTTCTTTCTTATAAAGAGTTTCTGCTGCAGAAAATTTTTTCTGATATTCTTCTTCACTATTCTCTTTCTCAGACTGCAGTTGCCTCTGAAAGTGAAAGAGAAAACAGGTTAAGAAATGTGAAACTGATGTAAACTACCATATATTATCTAACAAAAAAGGAGTTTATTATTTACACACTTTTTATCATTTGTGAGAGCATACTTTTGTCAATAAAGATATCACCAACTATTTCAGTTACTGTTGGTGAGTTTATAACCTATATCATTTTAGTTTGATCCATAAAACAACTTTTTATTTAGTTGTTTAAATTAACATAAGTATGTTACTTACAGCAAACAAGGTAATAATTCTTCAAGAGGCTAATGAATCATTAAACTACTTATGAATACAAAATCTTATAATCTTAACAATCATTAATCCTAATCAATCAGAATGGAACAATAAGAACTGATTACACTATAAAATCAGCTTAACTGAGAATAATTATCTTTACATCACCAGTTACTGTTCAAATGTTTTATCTTTTACTAAATTACAATGATCTACTACATACAAGTTAATAGATAGCATCAAAGAATGGATCAATTTTTTTTTCTCTTAACTGGCAATCAATTAAATATTGCTATTGACAAACAACAAATAGCTCCTAAAATCGTATTTTGATACTTGAAAATTTGTTCATGTTGGACAGCTTTCCTCAGCCTTGAAGCAACCACTTATAAAATGCAAAAGTCTGACACCAGTATTAAAAGAATGAACTAGTAAATTTAGTGTTAAAGCCAAGCTTGGTCAACCTGAAAAATTTTTTCAGCTTATCTGTTAAATCAAGCCTTAATAAAGATGCAATAAGATGTCTATATCATGCTGACTTGAATGAATCTCAGTTTCAAAAATGATTTGGCACTGAAATAAATGGGAAAAAGGGATGCATAGAAGTACCACTGATTGTGGTGCTAAAACAAAACTTATAGGCATTTAATATAATATTGGACTAAAATAGATATATTCAGCTGGATTTGTCCATTTCTGAATATGCGTACAAAAAACATATAATGGGCAATCTACATATAATTGGCCATAAATGTGAATTAACAGACAAGAACAAGTCTCTGTGACTATTTTTTAAAGGGGCTAGAAGTAACGAGTAGGTGAGCCAGAAGTATTTACTCTACACATTTTTAGGCAACATAACAATATTATACAAATTAACTTTAGTACACTGAACAAATTTCAACAGGTGAACAATACTTTAATAACAGAACAGAGTAACATTTAGTTAAGTATCATTACAAACATTCTTGAGTGTCCGTACATCAATGCACAGAGTATTTTTCAATATAAAATTACTATACATTTTAGTACTGTTAAGTGCTTGTTGTATTACTCATGTATATTGCTATAATGACCATGCATGTCTTAATCACAAATTATTTAATGATGTTACTGTGTTTTTTCATATTGATTTATTTTAATTTCTTTTACTTATTTTCTCTGCTAGACTGTTAATAGGTCACTTGGTTGTCTCTTGCATGCTGGATGTAGCTTTTAGGGCACCAGTTAAAGAGCCTTGGACTGGAGACAAGACATCTAGTTAATAGCACCCATGGCTCCAAAGTGTGAAATAAGTTTTGTGACAATGTGCCACAAAGCATGAACCATGGAATAACAGTTCAAACATGCTAACCACCAGGCTACACAGCTCTCAGCTAGATATGAAACTAATATTTTGAAGCATTAAAGGGAAATAATGCTTTTCTATTCAGCTAATCTTTTTTTTGAGCATGCTACTTGTTATCTGAACAATGGAAAGGTGTGAACTTGGTGCACTTTGACTTTCAAAGGAATTTTGTTAGGGAGTCACCCGGAAAATTAGCTAAGAAAACAAAGTCATTGGAGTTTGAGGAAAGTCTAGATAATTTGAATAAAAAGTGGCTGGGTGAGAGAAAGCAACAAATCATTATTAGAGTCTAGTTGAACTGGACCTATATTACTAGAGGTATATTTAAGGGGTCAGTGCTTAGGATTTAGCTTTTTTTTGTTTACATTAATAAAACTGAGAAGACATAACTTGTAAACTTTACAGATAAGGTTAAACTTTTGTAAACTGAGGATGTTGATGTACTATAGTAGGCATATCATGTGTTCCCAACACCTTTATGTAATATATTAATTTTTTCCAAATATAAATATAACTGTTTACGGTTTTCGTGATCTATGGTAAATTTGATGTTGAGATGAATGGAATTCACGTGTTTAAAGAAAGTTAGTGTGTGTTCTATAGAAAGGAAACCAGCAAAAGTGTCATCGAAATATCTGTACCAGTATAGTGGGGGATGAAGCACAGAATGTAGGGCTTGTGTTATGATCTGGGTCATAAATATGTTGGCAAGAACGGGCGAAACAGGATTGCCCATAAACAGTTATCCTTTCTTAACCTCAAAATTATTAGATTGGACACACAGTTTAAAACCAAAATTCACCGCAAGAACACACTGGCCTCTACATCCCCTAGAATTCCGCTCATGACACCATACAAAAAATCAATACACTTAAAAACATCATAAACACAGCCACAAGACTCTGTTCAACTGACTACATAAATGAAGAAACTAACAACATAATGCATTCTTTTATTCCCACCAGCTATTGTTGAAAAACTCTCCAACATTCCCCATAACAAAACTCAACTCACAAACAAAATTGATACTAACAAACCCAACAACAATACATTACACTGCAGTTTACCCTTTGTTCCTGAAACCAGCTCAAGAATTATCCACACATGGACAAAACTAGCCATTAAACACAATATTCCTGTCAACGTCAAATTCTCACAAAAACCGGCCCTAAATAAAAATTATTTAGAATCACACAATACCAACGTCATTTACAAAATAATATGCAATAACTGCCCAGAATTCTACATCGGAGAAACCGGAAGGAAATTGGAAACCAGATTGACAGAACACAATAAAAAAACGCCGCATGATTTTTCACCATTGCAACTCAAAAAACTATAGAATATCTATTAAAAACACAGTCATTTTAAATGAAGAACACAACATAAACAAACGAAAAATCACAGGGAATCCATCTTAATTGAAAAAACAACCCTACTCTAAACCAACACCCCGGGGTGCCTAGATACATCTTCTAGGTTTTGCAACAGTATTCAGTCATGTGACTTCTTTGTTCAATACTGTATATATATATATCTGTGTCAGTGTAAATTACTTTTATTTGATGATGACAAAACCTTGTCGAAACATTGTACATTGGCTCTTGTGTTAAACTTATATTAAAGTTTTTCTTCATTACCCATTCAAGCCATCTCCAACCATTATTAGTTTCAAAGTGGGTTACTCCTCATTGAATTTTAACTTTAAGTTTAACTTGATTTTGAGATTTTAGGAGCTTGTGTTTCAATTTGCTTTGTAGCATTTTCTTATATTCTATTTTAGTGTAGCTTACACAGATACACTAAACTAGTAAGAGAAACCTGTTACAAATTTCCCACTTCTATCTTACCAGTTCAACAAGTCCACTACAAATACTTGCCCCTGTTTTGTCTTGTATAATTAACTTGGACTGTTTGTGTGTATTCTGAATCTTGACTCTTTCTTCACAATGAACTCAGTTAAAGTTCAGAGACAAACATAAACACACTCTGTAACTTGATATTCTCCAAACCTCTGTTGACCAAGAATATCACTGTTGCTGAGGTTTGCACTATCTTAGAGTAAGTGAATGGCCACTCTTCAACAAATCACTGAGTACCTGCAGGCTAAAGGGCATATTAGTTGCAAGAGGTTAAGTCAGGAGCTGATGCAGGTTGGCCTGTAAATAGGATGGCAATATCTAAGAGGTAGCCCGCACCTGGATCTTGGACATTTGCAGATGTTGGAATGGTTCTCAAAGCCATTACTATACAAGTGTAAAGTGAATGAAGAGTGTCTGGTGTACTAAGAAAGGCTGATGAAGTTCTTCCCCATTAAGACTAAGCCTTGGAAAATTGAAGATCATTTGGGTAGTAGGTAGGCTAATGAATCTAAAAACAAGTGGGGCAGTCTTTATAGGACCCCCTTGTAGATATTTACTGTTTTGCCAGTAGGCAAGGCAATAGACTCTTGTCATGGAAATTGGTGGATCACTGGGAAGTACATCATTGAGACAAGTACCAGATACAATGTGTTGATAGTGAATGATTTCACCAATAGGAACTGTTTCACTATAAGGTGAGACAAGAGGCATTTGTACAGATAAACTGACAATTGGTAAGGTGATAGGGAGCTTTTCCATGAATGGATGTATCAAGTACTACTGAGAGTCAGAAGCAAAGGGCACCTGATGGATGAGCTCCACCAACAGGGACTGTTTTGCTAGCAGACAATATGGTGGACACATACACACATAAAGAAAAGGAGGATTATCAGACTGAGAGTTAGGAATGAGAGGCTGTTGGTAGATGAAAGCTACTAACAGGAGCTGTGTCACTGACAGATGAGATAGGAGGAAGCCTTTCTGTGAATAGAGGCACTCTGGCACATTGACAGTTAGCAGCAAGGTACTGTTAAGGAATAAATGTATTACCTACATTCCATACAATGAACCTTTATGGAAGAAGAAGACAAAACATGGGGCAGCAGAGACTCTCCCTCAGAAGGGTGGCAACTTTCAGAGACAACCATAAACTGTAGGGCAACCAGAGGTTCAGTACGATTCCTTGATGAGATGCATCCAGTATATTGTTGTTTTACAGCCTCAAGGTCAGAAGCTCAATGGACAGAGTGTGGGGCTCAAAGATCTCACTTATTCAACATAATACTATCCAGTTTGGAGCAAACTGTTACAATACCTGGAAAAGATCCAAGACCATACATACACATGGTAAAGGCCAAACAGATCACTTTCACAATGTTCAAATTGTAGCCAAAGAGGACTTAAACCATTTCTTGAGGCATTTCAGGCAAGATATTGCCTACAATACATGGCCTCAGAAACAGGTGATATAACACATGATCCTGAATTTGGACAGTCTAGCACTTGATATTAATTAGTTTCTGATGGAAGCACTGCTTGAAGAC